GTCTTCTCCCAGCTATAAAATTGTCAGCCTGCTCTTCTCATCGTTGGTTTAGAACCTACTTACTAATCGTCAGAGTCAGAGATGCCAGGGAGGACAAATAGGGCATCAAGCCCACCACAAGCTGCTGTCAACCCCTCTAATCTCTCTCCTCTTGATGCCCAGTCACCAAAATTTTCGTCAATATGCGATGCATCCTGAACAACACCTGTTCGTTGAAGGATGAAAATAAGAAGTCCTCGAGCAACAGATGATACGCGAGTATGTCCTAGTCTTGCCTTCAAGCGAGCGAAAATAATGAAGAAGGTTCTCCGCTGCAGTTTGCTCAACCCTTTATCAGCGAGAAATTTATAGCATTGAGCAAGAGGGAATTGGAGGTCAAAGTTTCTGTTAATTGACTGAAAGAAATATTGAGGATTCCCCTTGCACTTTTCAGCAAAGTGTTTCAGATCTTGGGAGGGAGTGATTATAGCTGGAATTTTTTTGACCGCTCTCTGGGTGGGACTTTTACGGCCAGTGATTTTGTTTCTTGCAACAGCTGGTAACGCTTTCCAAATCGGCGTGGCATAAGAGGCAACCTATCTGGTGTGAGTAACAATTGAGACAAAACTGCATCGAAGGGCCACTCACTCGTGGATCGGAGAGGATGTTTTTAATCTGACTCTGCACCAGTGGGTCAGTGAGAATATTCTGGCTCAGGCTGTCGGTTGTCTCTGCTTCGCTGCAAGCTCTGGAGAAGCTGGCAACTAATAATTTACTCTCTGTGATACCCATTTTCATCTGTCAGCGAGGTGGAGATGAAATGTTGTCGAAAGTGAAAATGGTGGATTACTTGTCTAGCGCAATTTGAGAGATCCCAGCTGATGCTAAATTGACTGCCTCAGTCCCTTAGACCCACTTCTGGCAGCGGCTAGGAGGCTATGGTTGCCAACTTCCTCCTCCTTGTGGATTACGTTATAGAGACTTCGCTTCACTCCGTCTAATAAAAAAATAATTACATGATGTCGGAGCTGATATCTCGTATATCAAGGATCAGAGATGACATCATGCTATCTCCTCGTGGTTAGGTTTTGCCCCAATTAGCGTGGTTTCAATTAGTGTATGGAATTTTGCACCGGCGCCTTTTTATAACCAATAGAATGCCATATAATTTTATATGAACAGTAATTGGTCATTTAAATCCACTGATTTGGCGATTCCATGCCAAGCTTGAAAACGTGTATGGAATTCAACGCGTTTGAACTCTACTCTGTGCCTGCCTGCCTGCCTGCCTGCATATTCTCTCCATCATGGAATCCATCCACCCACCCGCGAACATGGAATCCACTGAGAAAACTGCCAAATCCAATGGTAATTTCCTTATATTAATCAATTCTTATGACCTAGTTAACTAATCAATTTTCTAGACTGTACAAAAACATCTAGAAAATGAAAATGAGCTGTTGAGGAGGTCATAGCAGAGCTTCCACCTCTGAAGTCAGTGAAGTTCCTTCCAATGCAGCCTGCTTTGCGAGATCCAATTCTCAATATTCCTGCGAATATCAATATTAGCAGTTCCTACACCCTATTTACTCTATTCTTATCTGAGGAATGCTTTCAAAATATCAGTGATTCCATCAATCTCTATGCAAAACTAAAGAGAAATGCTGGAGATACTGATGATGAAGCTTCAGAGCTCTCAGAAGTGGAGAAGAAGAAGAAGAAGGAGAAAAGAAAAAAGAAGAGAATTCAGAAAGCTCTATATCTTCCAGTTTTTCTATTCAGCAACAACCATGGAAAAAAAACCAATCCAGCAGAAATAAAAGTGTTTATAGACATTCTTCTCTATATAGAAGTTCATAAATCCCAACAGACTGATCTATACTGATGGAATGATCTGAAACAGGGTCCTATTCATTCCATTCAATCCTATATGAGCCATACGTGATTTAAGCAGCTTAAATGATATATTCATATATCTAACCCCCATGAAGCCCGCCGGCCTGAGGCCTGAAATAAGGATTGGTGGTATAAGATAGAGCCATTGGCCACTGAATTCCATATGGCATGCTGAAAATACTACACACGGCTCAAAGGTTTCCATTGATGAGATCATGATTAAATGCTTCGGACGGAGTCAACACACATACAAGATGTCTAATAAACTAATTCCTCGGGGATATAAGATATTTGGCCTGGCAGAACATGGCTATTTATGGTCTTTTTCCTGGTCAAGCCATCGGCAGAGTATAATGCCTATGTTTCAATTCCCAGGATTAACAAAGACAGGATCTATAGTGGTGAATCTGGCGAACCGGCTTCCTATGATAGCTATATCCACGCCGAATGCCACACCGAATGCCACACTGAATGCCACGCTGAATGCCACACCGAACGCCATGCTGAATGCTGCTGAGAATGAAATCTCTATCTCACAGCAGGTATCTTCCTATTCAATTTATATGAATAACTACTTTACCTCTGTTCCTCTATTCAAAGAACTGTGCCAACAGGGATATGGAGCATGTGGAACTACCCGCTCTAACCAGGTGCCAGCTATACTAAGTGAATTTTGTCAGCATTCAACTTCAAAATCAATTCCCTGGAATACTTTGCATGTCATTGAAAAAGAGAATGTTCTCTGTCTTGCCTGGCAAGATAATAATATGGTATTAGCACTGACTACAATTCATCAATTGAACACTGTTATTGAACGGGTACATAAACGGCCAGGAAAACTCTCAACCAACACCAATATTGTTCAGAAAGTCTTTGAAAAGCAATCACAGAAGAAGCTGAAAATCCCAGTCATTATAGATGACTATAATCATCATATGAATGGGGTGGACCTAGCAAATCAGTACCAGGCAGCATATACTAGTCATAGGGTCATCTATCAAACATGGCTTCCTATTCTGATGTAGGTATAAAAACAAGCTAGACCAGCAGAATGCTGAATGAACTGGCAGATCATATTCTGATTGTTCAACATATCAAACACCTCTCTGTTTGAAAACTCAATGTTGGGAGGAATTCCATGAGATGGCTTGATAGGGTAATTACAACGCGAATCCTTAATTAGGGCTTTTTTAAATACGCTAATACTGACTAATACCAAAATTACCTTAACCGGTCAATAATATGCTGTATAATATACACTAATTGAAACCACGCTAATTGGGGCAAAACCTAACCATGAGGAGATAATCTGCCTTGTTGTCTATTTGCTTCGCCTTCTTTGAAATTGCCTTGCTGCGCATTAGAGCACTGCCCCGCTTGTATAATCAAGCATATCCTTCCTTAGTTATAAATACTGCCTACTTATCATGTAATTATCGGAGTAATAATAATCAATTCAATATTCTATTTTCTATTTTGATATTCAGTATTTGGGTCAATATTCGAACATTATCTAGTTCCGACACATGATTACTACTGAAAACAAATCAACTATACATGACATTTCCCAAAACCATCAGGGTGTTGCGAATGAATACAATGGTGGCAAATTTCATCTTGCGCTGGACAGTCTTCGTTTACCATGCAATACCACCGACGGCAATCATATACACGAGGTGTAAGCACATCTCGTTGGCGAACATTTGGTAATACCTTTGAACCACCCAATGGAACAGAATTTAACAATTCAAGAGATGAGACCTGTGTCTTGTCGATCATAGAGCTGTCAGCAGTTTTCCACAGTGCAATCCAATTCTTCTAAGAGGGTAATGTTTAGTCAAATGAGTTTAACTCAGTAGAATCAAGCTTATAGCTGAAGTAAAGAAATATTACTCACTAACAGGCCTGAAGCTGTCACCGTATGAATGATATTAATACACGTAATCAGGTAGACAAAGCATTGCATAATTGTAGAGCAGTTAACTAAACTTCAGTTCCTAGCGATTTTTTCATTCACTTCACCCTTTTTATACTATTTATGAGAGATTACAAAGTTCTATGTTTTATGACACTTACACCCTGCTGGCTGAATGGGTGCTTAGAGCCTGTTCGGTGCGTCTGTACTTTTTGAATGCAATAGTGGATCTCATTAAAAATAGCATATTTATCAATTAATTAGTAGCAAGCCGGCATTGTGTGTGAGGGGTGATGACAGTGTGAAGAGTGAATAGTGGAAGATAATAGATAGCATAGTAGATGATAATGACAATAGTAATTATAGTAGTAATAATAGTAGCTAATCGCTAAGAAGGAAAAGAAAGAGAAAAGAAGATGTGTGAAATACATACATTCATATATATATACATATAGAAATAGCGGTAGCGAGAAATACATATAGAAATAGTGGTAGCGAGAACATAATGGAAAGAGGTAAGAATAAACAAAGATAATATAATAAGGAAATAATAAACGAGTGCATTACATTGCGCCACCACACTATTCCATAATTGAGATCACTCTATGCTTGCTTTTTAATTTCACATTCAACACAGACACATTGAGATCATATTCTTTCAAATTCATAATTGTTTTTTCTATATTTTAATCCTCATTATTAGCTACAATTCATGAAAGCAGTGAATAAGAATGTCACAATATGATGTTTCAATGCAATATTTGAATGTGAAGAATGACAATACTCAAATCTCTACAATTTTAATCTCATCAAATCAGTGATCAGATTTTCAATTATTATTCTTTTAAACATTTTCTTAAATATATTTTGAAATATCATTTTATCAAATATTTATTATCTCTCAAAAGCAAACATCTGCTTCTCAAATCAAACAATTCAAAATATCATAAAATTTTATGATGAAAAAAACTATGCTTACTGAACTCTTGAAGATGAAAAAGAAAGAATTAAATATAGACAACAACAATTTCAAACTTACAAATTGAAACTTTATCACATAAACTATCAAACAATCAATAAATCAAATAATAATTAAAGATATATATAATAATCAATGAAAAAAAATTCAACTGTATTTGAATGTTTTAAATAAGATATAAAAATTAGATATTTAATTAAATGTATGATCACAAATGTGAAATTTATATCAATAATAAAAAGATTATATATGAATATTTCTTCAAATATTCTGATTTTTAAATCTTTCAAGAATATGGCGTACGCCGTTCAATTAGTAGGATAATTCATAACTGAGTTTCCCTAATCTAGAAGGGTGAGCGAACGCCCCTATATATATACGTAGTCATCCCGTTAGCGATCCAATCCAGAGGAAGGAGCGATCGCAGCATACGGGAAGAATAGGAGGAATAATAATGCAGGGGCGGAAGGATGTATGTATGTATGTATAGGTTTAACGTCCCGGAGAAAACACGGGCAGCGCCCGTGTTTCAGAAGCCTCCCGAAGGGCATGGAGACGTGCTACGCTGGAGAGATTTCTATGTACACATAGAGACAGAGAAAACAGAATCCAGGTGGCAACTCTTGAGAAGACTCAGCTCATTGCAAAGGATTTTTCTGAGCTGCGCATCCACTTCTGGCCCGACGTATGGCCATTCATGGTGGGGTTATAGTGTGGTTCCCTGAGGGGACCGCCGCTGCCGTGCCTGGAAGGCTTTATAGTGAGCATAGAGGGATACCTCTCTCAGTTGATCAGAAAGCTGTCTGTGCTTCTAACATCATATGAAAGACAGACAAGATAAACAATGAAGGAGAGAGCACTGAAGAAGGTTGTGACATGAAAAGAGCAGAGAATGACAGAGAGAGCAAAGAAAAGAAGGAAGAAGAAGCATTTGAGCCGATAGAGACAAGGGCAAACGAGAGGAAAACAAAGCAGAGCACGCGTAGATACAATGCCGGCAGTCAAAACCATATCAGCTGAGTCAGACACGTAGACTGTACTGAATTACACCACAGTCTAATTGAAGACAGATGAGCCTAGTTTGTGCTATCTGTACTGTCTGCATAGACTGTGATGTCCTGGCAGTTGCACTAGCTACCGTGGGTGTACTCAGCAGGCCGGCCTCGTGGAACTGCTGCGGGGGTTGTCAGATGGTTTGCAGCCAGCCGGCTGCGTTACCTTGTGCAGTACCGTGTGTAGAACTGCGTGCAGTCCAGCAGTTCTACAAAGTCTGTAGGGGTCAGAGACCCTAGATAGGCAACAGCTGTCGCCCGGTTGTGTGGCCGTGCTGCTGGCCTCTTGGGCCAGTGAAGAAAGTGCCTCTGTGAGTGTCGACAGAGCACCAAATGTTCTGGGCTCTTGTTGTGTCCACAGACACAGGTGAGCCTCGCATCTGCATGCTGGAAACGCCTGTGGTACCAGGAGAAGTCCCCATGAGAGGAGCGGAGTGCGAGCCAGCGGTGAAGGGCATGCCGTGGCATGGTGAGCTCCGGAGGGGCCTTCACTTGGTATTCCACAGTCGGCCTGCTGAAACTCCAGCCCCGGTACCAGTCAGAGAGCCTGCCACAGGCTCCACTCCACCACTTTCGCCTTGCCTCTTGGCTGAGCTGCTTGGCCACTGTGCGGACCCCACTGACTGTGGGTGTGGCCTCGAGACCATAGGCTGGGGCTGCAGTGGATGAGACTGCCCGCTTAGCCAAGCGGTCTGCTTCCTCATTGCCCTCTATCCCCATATGCCCAGGAGCCCATTTCAGGCCGACATTGTGCTGTCTGTATGTATGTATGTATTGATTTAGCGTCCCAGAGAAGACACAGGCAATGCCTGCACTTCAAAAGCCTCCCGAAGGGCATGGGGACGTGCTACGCTGGAGAAATCTCTATATACACAGTAATGATAGACACAGGATCCAGATAGCAACTCTTGAGAAGACTCAGTCTATATAGACTGTACGTCCACTTCTGGCCCGACATATGGCCATTCATGATAGAGATAATCAAAGCACACAGGTGCTACGGCAGGGCGATTGCTCGCAAGGAGCAGCAGCAGGACGATTGCTTGCAGGGAGCAGCGGCAGAGCGATTGCTCACAGAGAGCAGAGGCAGGGCGGAGGCAGGGCGATTGCTCGCAGAGCGCAAAGATCAAAGCCTGGAGGCCAATGAATGCTGAGTTCACTGAAAATCAGACACTCATAACAACCACTCTGCTCTTGGCCATCATCACTAGATGATGTTACCAGGCTGCACCACGAGGAGGTGGCAGAGTCGGACTTCGCAGCCCATCCTAAGTGCTGGAGGCATGCTGTTGGAGTTGTTCTGTCGAAACTCAATAGAAAACCAACTATTTCTAAATCTTATAGAGTGATATCTCTGCTGAATTGTCTGGGAAAAATTTTGGAAAAGATAATTGCAACTAGATTGTCTTTTCTATCTATTACTACTGATTTATTATATAATGATCAGATGGGAAGTAGAAAGCAAAACTCAGTAATTCATGCAGTTCTCTCTGTAGTTCATGATATTCAACTTGCAAAGAATGAAAAAATGGTTACAACTGCAATGTTTATTGACATAAAAGATGTATTTGATTGTGTTTCACTTTCTCAAATGATCAAAACTTTGATAGAACTAAGAATGCCAAAGTCTCTCATTAAATGGGTTATCTGTTTCATGTCAAAAAGAACTATTCAGTTGCTTTTTGATGGAATAAGACAAGATATAACAGATATTGAGATAGGAGTTCCTCAGGGTTCCCCAGTCTCACTGTCACACCCTTGGTTGTGCCAAGGCCCCGTGACGGCTCCACACGGCCCATCGTTTCCCCTCGGATAATCCCATCTATCCCATGACGTCACGCAGGTGTCCGAACCGG